CAGGAGAGAGCGGAGTCTCTGAGGCCAAGGGAATTTAGTTTTTTGAGGAGGGGGTGTGTCAGGATCCAGGTGTTCTGCGGCATCGCGTCGGGCGGCGCATGCGCAGAACACCCACTCTCTCTACCCGGCGGGCGGGTAGGACCTGGCCGCGCATGGCAGCGGCGGGGTTCGCGCATGCGCACTCGGGATCACGGACGCGCGCCTGGCACCAATGACAGCGGGAGGCGGGCTATTTAAACGCAGGAACAGGTATGTTAGTTGCCGTTTGGTCTTGTATCCTGTGTCCTGTATCCTGTTCCTGTGTTGCTGTATACTCCGTTGCCGACCTCTGCTTGTTCCTGATCCTGCTCTCTCCTGTTTGACCCCTGGCTTGCCTGACTACTCTTCTGTCTGATCCCTGGTACTGTATTTGCCCGCATCCTGCTGAACCTGGCTTGTGACCTGACCATTCTTAGCTCGCTCCTCTGTACCTTGCTGCCCGCATAATACCGACCGGCCTGTCTGACCACGCATACCGTATCCATCCATCCATCCATCCATCCGGTTTGGGTCAGACCTGTGTATCTGTCTGCCTCTTCCAAGTAGATTCCGTTCCTGCACTCCCCTGTCAGTATTCTCTACCACCGCAGGACGCACTCGGGGGTCGCGACCTGGTTTCAGTCTGCACCAAGTCCATCCCCACCATCAGGGGCCCTGGTGAACAGCAGGCTGGGACTTAGACCCCCGCGCCCTGGGAGCGTCCATGCGGTGGGCTGCTAGAGACTCTGCCAGGCGGCATAACAGGGTGGTCGACTGTGTCGAAAGCCGTGGAGAGGTCGAGGAGAAGGAGCACTGAATAGTTGCTGTTAGCTTTGGCGGTTAGCAGGTCGTTGGAGAGTTTGAGTAAGGCAGTTTAGGTGAATCGAGGAGGTTGTTGTCGTTGAGGTGGGAGCTTAGGCGATTGTAGACTAAGCGCTCGAGGAGTTTGGATGTGAATGGCAGCAGGGAGATGGGTCTGAGGTCATTCGGGTCAGAGGGGTCCAGGGAGGGCTTTTTAAGTATGGGAGTGATGTGTGCGTGCTTCAGAGGGGAGGGGAATGCTCTGGAAAAGAGGGAGAGATTAAAGATGTGGGTGAGGGAGTGTAGGATGAAGGAGGAGGGAGGTCGTAGGAGTTGTGAGGGGACAGGGTCGAGGGGGCAGGTGGTGAGGCAGGCTTCAGAGAAGACCTTGGTGACCTCCTCAATGGTAGTAGGGTCTAAGGAGTGGAGTGTTGAGGGGGCTTCAGTGTGAGGGATGTTAGGTAGGGGAACAGTGGTGAGGCCGAGGGAGAGGATTGATGAGGGGGTTGCTGTGTGAGAGGAGATGGGTGGGGAGGAAGTTTGGGCAGCGGCGATGTCCCTGTGGATTGTGTCAATCTTGTTTTTGAAGTGATTGGCAATCTTGAGGGCGGTGAGTGAGGTGCTGGGTGGAGGTGGGGGCGGAGAGAGTAGAGAGTTGAAGGTGGAGAAGAGCTGGCGAGGATGGGTTGTGGATGGGTCTTCCAGCATGACAATGACCCAAAACATACTGCCAAGGCAACAAAGGAGTGGCTCAAGAAGAAGCACATTAAGGTCATGCAGTGTCCTAGCCAGTCTTCAGACCTTAATACTATAGAAAATTTATGGAGGGAGCTGAAACTTCAAGTTGCCGAGCGACACCCAAGAAACTTTAAGGATTTAGAGAAGATCTGTAAAGAGTGGACCAAAATCCCTCCTGAGATGTGTGCAAACCTGGTAACCAACTACAAGAAACGCCTTACCTCTGTGTTTGCCAACAAGGGTTTCTCCATCAAGTACTAAGTCATGTTTTGCTTGGGGATCAAATACTTATTTTACTCACTGAACTGCAATTCAATTTATAACATTTGTATCGTGTATTTTTTCTGGATCTTTGGTTGATATTCTGTCTCTTGTCATTTAAAATACACCTATGATAAAAATTATAGAACCTTCATTTCTTTGTAAGTGAGCAAACTTACAAAATTTGCAGGGGATCAAATAATTATTTTCTCTACTGTATACACTGTCTCTCTTCCTTAATGCCCACCTGCCGAGAAACCGTATATATGCGTAAAACTGGCACAAAGAGGTTAGAGTAGAAGTACATCTAAAGCAGTTTTGGCTGTACTTCTCCTATGGATCACATGAGTGCAGCTCATTCTGCACTCTTGTGACCCCTTTTCAGCTGACAGTGGGCTGAAACCCGCTGTTGGCTGACGTCACTCAGCCATCCAGGCTTGGGAAAGATTTCAACTTTAAAGGTGGAATCCACCCCGATGTCAGCAGCATGCCAGAGCCAGCTGCTCCCAACTCCCTGCCCCCCCCCCCACCCACATAGCCCAGTCCACCAGTGAGCGAGACAGAACAAAAAGCGGTGACTAACAGTCACCGCTCTCTGCTCAGTGCGGCAGCAGTGTTTGATTTAGAGCTGGTGGGGGACACATACAGCATCGGAACGATGCTGCATACGCCTAGGTAAGTATGATTTTAAAAAAAAACATACTTCTCTTTTAAAATGGCTCTTTATTAAGCATTCATTTCAAGTTTATATTCAAGCTGATTTCAAAACCCGAGTCGAGGACCCTTCTGTGCAGCTGTTTTCTCTGATAGTGGAATATACAAGGTACTGTAACTGGTGTTCCACCAGGAACCCCTCATGCGTATTTGGGCTAAGCTGCTGGCTACCCCAGTAGAGTGGTGCAGCAGAGATATAGACTGTGAAGCAGTGCAGAGAAGATGCAGCAGAGGCTTAGACTGTGAAAGCAGTGGCAACTGTGGGTACAGAGGAGGTACAGTGGATACTATGGGTGCACTTGGGAGCAGCTGAGGTGCAAAGGAGGCTATGAGCTCAGCTGAACAGCAGCAGAGGTTGTGAGGCTATGGAAGCACAGCAAAGACTGTTCTGCCTCCTCCCCTCTCCTTCCTCTACAACTTTTGGCACTTTTTTTGTTTTTTTCCTGGTTTTGATAGGTACCCTCGATCCCACTTCCACTCAGATTGCCTAGGCGATCCAAACAGAAGTTGGGCCCCCTCTCTTTGTCCTCAGTTTTCTGGGACATGTTACAGGTTCCTAGAGTCTCAGAACTATTCACAAAGCACAGGGTGGCTTGCACATGTGCTGTGGGAAATGGCTCTTAGGTCAAGATGGTTATTAATAATCATGACACGTGTATATGTATAAAATAAAATTAAAAATTAGTGAAGCGCTTGTATCACATGAATACAATCATGTATCTCCATATAGTGTAATTATAAATCAAAGTGACCACTATATATAATAAATGTGTGTTGACTCCCTCTAGTGAAAAGAAAAAATAGTGTCAACCAAAATAGCTAAATAACACACATTAGGAAACTAAATATATAGTGCATAAATCAAATATAATGAACAGAATATATATATACGTGAAAACAGAATATTGGCCACATACAATGGTGTCTAAATTATACATAAATGATATATGCCATAGGTGAACAAGACAATATCAAAGGTGAAAAAAATATTCCATGCATGTGACTGTGCTTTAAGCTGGAACACACACGTGATCTCCACTTCTAAGTGCAAGTACTCTCCTTCAAATGGCAGCAATGCCTGCTCACCTCCCTTCCTCGACCCACACAGGGCCTCAAAGCAGTTACCACCTCAGTGGTGTATTCCTCTGGCAGACTCCTTATTCCTCCTCCTCTCTTATGCAACTCATAAAAAGACAAGAAAGCCTTCCATAGTGTAGTAAATTTAATAGGCAAAGTTAAAAATTACAAAGTTTTCCACTCACATGCTCCTTTCCATAAAAAAGCGTTTTTCCCAGCCTGTGGGTAGATATGCATGCACCTGGGGGAATCCAATATGGCCACTGTGTCCGGACATACGTCACCAGGAAGTAGACAAACCGACGCGTAGCGTCACGTGCGTCGTGACTTCATCAGGGTGAAGTCACGACGCACTTCATCACAATATTCTGTTTTCACGTATATATATATTCTGTTCATTATATTTGATTTATGCACTATATATTTAGTTTCCTAATGTGTGTTATTTAGCTATTTTGGTTGACACTATTTTTTCTTTTCACTAGAGGGAGTCAACACACATTTATTATATATAGTGGTCACTTTGATTTATAATTACACTATATGGAGATACATGATTGTATTCATGTGATACAAGCGCTTCACTAATTTTTAATTTTATTTTGCACTTATTGGTATCAGCTAAGTGACAGCAGCTGTATTTTGTCAATTATTCCCATGAGCGCAGGAGGATCCCTTATTATTTACGTGTATATGTATGCCCCCTTTTTTCTTCAGATCAGTTTTGATACAATACTAGACTGGCGGCTCCTGAAGAAGTGGAGTATTCCATGAAACACGTCGGGCCACAAAGATCAGCATATATGTATACTATGTTTATAAAATGTTTTGGTGAAACAATAGGATTGTATTATTGATTGATTTTATGAAATCGTGTATATTATATTAGTGGGTTTTGCATTTGAATAAATAAAGTATTCCATGGAAAATCCCATGTTTCACAATACGCTACTAGAAATTTACAATACAGGGGTGTGCACTTTACAATTAATTTAGGATTACACTACACCAGGTAGAAAACACCTTGTTACCAGCTCTAATGATCATGCGCTCTGGGAAGCAGGCTGTGAAGCCACAGGGTGTCACAGATGGTGTCTCACACTAAAGACCTGAAGACCAAAAAACTGGTCTGGGTGAGAATGGCACTGGATCCCTAAACAGGTAAGTGTCCTTTTATTAAAAGTCAGAAGCTACTGTATTATTTTTTGAGTGAAGATCCTCTTTAACAGCCTCCCGCCCGGCATATAAGGTAATGATGGGGTGGGCGGCGGTTCTCTCATTCTGGGATGATGTCATATGACGTCCTCCCACTATAACTGCTTATACACACTCTTGGGGGTGCGCAGCACACTGATCGGTGGTGCACTGTGTCCCTTGGACACAGCGGATCACCGATCACTGTAAAAAGCCGATGACGTTGGCTCTGTCATGTGATCACCTGTGTCCAATCACAGCTGATCACATGTAAATAGGAAATACCGGTTATCGGCAGTCCTCTCCTTCCGCTGACAGCTTGAGAGGGGAGCTGATAATTGGCATTCCTCAGAGGGGACATCTACACTGATCATCAGGGCACTGATGATTAGTGCCCCGATAATCAGTGTAGCCCCATCAATGCCACACACCAGTGCCCAACAATTCCACATATCATTGCCTACCAGTGCCCATCAGAGCTGCCAGTCAGTGCCACCTATCAGTGCCAGTCAGTGCCGCCTAAAATTTCCAATCAGTGCCACCTAACAGTGTCAGTCAGTGCTGCCTATCAGTTCCATATATGAGTGCTACCTTTCAGTGCCCATCAGTGATGCCTGTCAATGCCCATCAGTGCTGCATTTCAGTGCCCAACACTGCAGCCTCATTAGCAAACATCAGTGAAGGAGAAAAATTACTTATTTACAAAATTCTATAACAGCAACTAAGAAAAAACTTTTTTTCAAAATTTTTGAGTCTTTTTAAGTTTGTTTAGCAAAAAATAAAAACCTAGTGGTGATTAACCCCTTCACGCCTAAGGGTAAAACAAATCTAAAGGCCTAAGCACAATTCTGCACCGTTGACATGTGATAGCAAAACCGTACATATCATCACAACTACTTTGCACATCCAGGTGGATTATACCTTGATTTTTTCAGGACAAATTGGGCTTTAATTTGGTGGTAAATGGTAATGGATATCTCCTGATTTTTTTTTTATCAAAAGAAAACTGGCCCAAAATAGTAAAAAAAAATCCTTTTTTTTAATTTTAGCTATGTGTTTCTTGTTATGACCATAACCTACCACCAAAGAGCAACCCAAAATAAATTCTCCAGCTCTTGACGATCGCAGCGATACCATATATGTGTATGTTATTTGTTGTTTGTACCCGTAGTACAGCCCAGAAACCATAGTGCGCATTTTGTTTTTGTCTTTTTTTTTTTTTTTTTTTTTTTTTACCTAAAACACACTAACACTAACTGACACTGACATTAACACTAACTGACACTGATACCAATTTTTTTTTAAATCTTGACCTTTGACCCTGACCTTTGACCTTGACCCTGACCTAAACACTAACCCTGGCACTGAACTAGATCAAACCTTGATCTAGGTATTTTTTTTTATTTTTTTCTTTTATTTTTTTAATCTTTATTTATTTATCTTTTTTTTTTTTTCAAACTTTTTTTTTTCTTCTCTCTGACAGGAGTTCGAGAGACACAATGTATCTCTCTTCTCCATTCATAGAGAGAGAGAGAAAAAAAAACAAGGGGGCCGGGCTGCACAGTGACTGATCACACTGTGATAGCCAATCAGAGGCTATCACAGCGATCATGTGACCCGGGACCGGGAGTCCCGGGTCCCGATCGTTAGAACGGGACCCGGTGCTCTCAGTGACACCGCGGTCTCGGTGCTGGGAGAGCGCGCTGAGGGGCGCGCTCCCAACACAAAGACAGGTACGCAAATATGCGGCCCCACGGAAAAAAGCCCAGGTCCGTGAGGCCGCATATTTGTGTTACGTCGGCGTCAAGGGGTTAAATACCACCAAAAGAAAGCTCTATCTGTCTCCAAAAAAAATGATAAAAATTACAGTACAACATTGCATGACCGCGCAATTGTCATTCAAAGTGCAACAGCGCCGAAAGCTGAAAATTGGCCTGGGCAGGAAGGGGGTAAAAGTGCCCGGTAGGCAAGTGGTTAAAGGTCAAGCTGAAGTACATTATGCCATTTAATCATTTTGTAGTAGCTCTCTATGTGCTGTAGTAAACACAGTCCCTTGAAAAGTATTCATGAGCATTATTACATCGTTAGTCTGGCTGAAAAAAGACAAAAGTCCATCCAGTTCAACCATAGAAAAAAAAAGTTATAATTCTATACCCTCAGTTGATCTAGAGGAAGGAAAAAAAAAACCCAGCACAGCATGATCCAATTGCCACCTGCTGGGAAAAAAATTCCTTCCTGATCCCCCGAGAGGCAATCAGATATTCCCTGGATCAACTTTACCTATAAATATTAGTATCCATTTATATTCTGTGTATCTAAGAAACAATCCAGGCCTTTGTTGAAGAAATCCACTGAACTGGCCAGAACCAACTTTTGAGGGAGTCTATTCCACATTTTCACAGCTCTCACTGTGAAGAAACCTTTCCGTGTTTGGAGATTAAATTTATTTTCCTCCAAATGTAAAGAGTGCCCCCTTGTCCTCTGTGATGACCTCAGGGTGAATAACTACACCAAGTTCATTATATGAACCACTGATGTATTTATAAATTGTGATCATATTCCCCCCCCCCCCCCCTTCCTTAATCTCCTCTTCTCAAGAGAGAATAAATTCAGTTCCTCTAATTTTTCCTCATAGCTGAGCTCCTCCATGCCTCTTATCAGTTTGGTTGCCCTTCTCTGTACTTTCTCCAGTTCCCCAATGTTCTTTTTGTGAATTGGTGCCCAAAACTGAACTGCATATTCCAGATGAGGTCTTACCAATGATTTGTACCGGGGTAATATAATATCTCTCTCTCTGGAGTCTATACCTCTTTTAATACAAGAGAGGATTTTGCTCGCTTTAGAAGCCACAGCTTGGCATTGCATGCCATTATTAAGCTTGTGATCTACCAGAACTCCCAGATCCTTCTCCACCATTGATTCCCCCAGTTGTACCCCCCTAGTATGTATGATGCATGCATATTCTTAGCCCCCAAGTGCATAATCGTACATTTATCAAAATTAAATCTCATTTGCCACATAGTTGCCCAATTAAACAGTGCATTGAGGTCAGCTTGTAAATTGAAGACATCCTGTAAGGACGTTATTCCACTGCACAGCTTGGTGTCATCTGCAAAGACTGAAATGGGATTTTTAATCTCAGACCCTATATTGTTTATAAATATATTAAAAAGTAAGGGTCCCAACACTGAACCTTGAGGTACACCACTGACAACCCTAGACCATTCAGAGTATGAATCATTAACCACTACTCTCTGAATGCGATCTTTTAGTTAGTTTTCTAGCCATTTACATACAGATTTTTCCAAATCCGTAGACTTTACCTTACAAATTAGCCGTTTGTGGGGGACTGTGTCAAACGCTTTTGCAAAATCCAAGTATACCACGTCCACCGCCACCCCTCTGTCCAAGGTTGTGATCACCTCCTCATAAAAAGAAATCAGATTTGTTTGACAACTTCTGTCTTTCATGAATCCATGCTGTCTGTTGCTTAAAATATTTTTTTCAGCAAGAACTCATCTATGTGGTCTTTTATTAAACTCTCCAGTATCTTCTCAACTATAGAAGTTAAACTAACAGGTCTATAATTACTTGGTAAAGATTATGACCCCGTTTTAAATATTGGCACCACATTGGCCTTACACCAATCCAGTGGTACTATGCCAGTCATTAAAAAGTCCCTAAAAATTAGAAACAATGGCTTTGAAATGACAGAGCTCAATTCCTTAAGGACCCGTGGGTGTATGCCATCCAGTCCAGGTGCTTTATTCACCTTTATTCTGTCTAAATATTTTTGGATCATATCAATTGTGAGCCAATGTGGATCATCTGGAGCTGTGTCAATACCATGCCCCTTATGGACAAGAGCTCCCCCATGCTCCTTTGTATACACAGAGCTGAAGAAGGTATTAAATAAATTTGCCTTCTCTTTGTCCCCAGTCACCCACTATAGATTATTTTGTAAAGGACCTACATGCTCAGACCAAACCTTTTACTATTAAAAAATGAAGAATTGTTTGGGGTTGATCCTGCTATCTTTTGCAATTTGTCGTTCGTTATCAATTTTTGCGGCCTTTATTTCCTTTTTGCATATTCTGTTATATTCTTTGTAACGTTTAAACGATGATCGCGTTCCTTCATTTTTATATTGAATAAAAGCTCTTTTCATCTTATCTATAGTCTTTTTAACTTTGGCCGTAAGCCACATAGGTTTGATTTGTAGTCTTTTAAACTTGTTGCCCACGGTAATACAGTCTTTTTGAAGAACTCCCATTTTTGTGTTGTGTTCATCAATACCAATATTCCCTCTTAGTCTAAGTCTTGGAGAGCAGCTCTCAGACTTGGAAAATTACCTCTCTTGAAATTGAGCATTTTTATTTTTCCTGTATGTGCTTGCTGTTTACAGCTAACAATAAATTAAATCATGTTATGGTCACTGCTACCCAGATGTTCTTTTATATGGACATTCGTAATAAGCTCTGCATGGTTGGAGAGTAGCAGGTCCAGCAGAGCATCATTCCTAGTAGGGGCCTCTATGAACTGTACCATAAAATTGTCCTGTAGTAGGTTTAAAAATTTTTGCCCTTTAACTGTTCCTGCAGTACCATTACTCCAGTCAATTTCTGGGTAGTTAAAATATATAAGTTATTATAAACATTATTATTGTGAACAGGTGGTGTGCCCATACAGGGTTAAGCAGCAGGTTTCCTTCATGCCCCCAGCAGCACATGCTCACCATTGCTTTCCTCCTCAGCAATCTTTTTGGCTGCGGGGAGCATGGAAAGGAAGCCTTGGGTTGATCACAAAGCAGCAGAACCCTCACATGATAGAAGAGGGGATATATCACATGCTTTTTCATAACCACACTTGTATTAATATTTTTTTGCTTTTGGAAGCTGAATAAAACAGTATCGATAAAAGAAGGAACCATGAGTGTGGACTACTGGGGAATAGGGCATTAAACTTAGCCAGAAAAAGGCTTTTAAAGTAAATGATTGTGTATTTTCAATGAGCACATTTTTTTTGGTTTCTCTTTTTTATTATTAATGACTGACGACTAGATCAGGGCATCTTGAAACTGCAGCTCTGTGGGATGTTCCCAGTCTGCAGTGGTCAAGACCTACCTAAAGTGGTCCAAGGAAGAAAAAACGGTGAACTAATGACAGGGTCATGGATGGCCAAGGCTCATTGAGCATGTGTGGAGCAAAGGCTGGTCCATGTGGTCCGATCCAATAGCAGAGCTACTGTAGATCAAATTGCTGAAAAAGTTATTGCTGGTTTTGTCAGAACACATGGTGCATCACAGTTTGTTGCGTATGGGAAGGAGTCATCTCAGACTGGTCAGGATGCCCATGATGACCCATGCCCACAGCCAAAAGCTCCTACAATGGACATGTGGGCATCACAACTGGACCATGGAGCAATGGAAGCAGGTCACTTGGTCTGATGAATTCAAGAATGGTTTAACCACTTGCTAACCACACTATAGCCGAATGACGGCTACAGAGCGATTGTTCAGCTCTGAGATGGTGTCATATGCTGTCCTCCCAGAACGCGCACTCCTGCTCGTCCCCAGTGGCGCGCACCC